GCAAGGCAAGGCAAGGCAAAGAAAGGCAAGGCATGGCAAGGCGTAGCTAGGCAAGGAAAGGCAAAACAGGGCAGCACACGTCAGGGCAGGGCAGGGCAGGGCAGGGCAGAGCAGGAAAGGGCAGAGAAGGGCAGGGCAAGGCAACGCAACGCAACGCAAGAAAAGGCATGGCAAGGCAAGGCAAGGGAAGTCAAGGCAAGGCAAGGCAAGGCAAGGAAAGACAAGGCAGGGCAGCACAGGGCAGGGTAGGGCAGGGCAGGTCAGGGCAGAGCAAGGCAGGGCAGGGTAGAGCAGATAAGGGCAGGGCAAGGCAACGCAAGGCAACGCAAGGCAACGCAAGGCAAGGCAAGGCAAAGCCAGGCAGGGCAAGACAGGGCTGAGAAGGGCAGGGCAGAACAAGGCAATGTAAGGCAGAGCAAGGCCGGGCAAGGCAAGGCAAGGCAAGGCAAGGAAGGCCACAGGACTGAGCATGGCAGGGTAATGAAAGGCAACGCAAGGTAAGGCAATGCAGCGCAAGGCAGGGTAGGTCAATGCATGGTAGGGCAGGGCAGGCAGGGTAGGGCAGGGCAGGGCAGGGCAGGGCAAGGCAAGTCAAGGCAAGGCAAGGCCAGGCAACGCAGGGCGGGGCAAGGCAGGGCGTGACGGGGAAGGGCGGGGCAGGGCGGGTCAGAGCAGAGGAGGGCGGGGCAGGGTGGTTCAGGCGGGGCAGGGCAAAGTTCGGCAGTTCATAACAGGTCATGGAGAACAGGGCTGGGCAGGGCAGGGCAAGGCAATTCAAGGCAAGGCAAGACAAGGCAACTCAAGGCAATTCAAGACAGCTATTGTTGATAATTAGAAATGAAACAGTTTTCTCCTTCATTTCTGGTCACGATGTTATGCATGTAAATACGATTTTAGTTTGAAATAAATGTGGTTTGTCCTAGTACTAAAAAATTATTTTATAATTTTTACTTATGTTTTTAATCCATACATTGCACTTCAGAAAATGTCCTTTAAATCTCATACTTGCATAGTACTTTCTAGACAGCATGTTACTACCATTGCGGTATATCACTTTTCAGAATTGATGTATATTTAGTAAGCACAAAGAAAAGAGATTCAGTTGTTTCTTATTCTGCTTTGCCTTTGGATTTTATTGTTATTTTTTTCTGTACTCTTGTCAGTTTGTGGCTTTTTCTGAAACTGCTCCCAAGGATGGCCCATTTTCTCAGGAACAATTTCTTTCAACTATCATGACGTGTGTCGAGTACAAAAGCTACCAGCAGTTTTACGCATTTGTGGCAGTTCAGTATCCTGTTAACATAGGATTGTTAGTCACTGTCTTCTTCTTAACTTAGATTAAAAAAATATCTAACACATTATTGCAAACAGCTACTACACAGAAAATATAAATCTTTAAAATTTCATATACTTTTCACGTTTGACTTACTTTAACCAAAATCCTGTTTCAACCCTCATACTGGCTTCATTATTAATTTTTTTCAAGGCAGTAAATATTATGTAGATATTGTAATGAGGAATATTATTTTTTCTTCCCCATGAAAATTTTCATGTTACTAGATTTAAAAATAAGTTTGTCTATATGCATCTACAAAAGCATCCAAAGGAAGTACTAGTCTTACATTCTATCACTGCTATTCCACATTCTGCTGCAGTTGTTGACCTCAAAACATAAAAATTCCAGATATGAAAGGGAATATATTTACAACTGTAGTGTTTTTAATTAAATGTCAAAAACAGCCAGGTACCAGTGTACTTCATACATGAAATGCATTATCCATCTCCTCAGTCAGAAAAAAATTCTTTTATCATTATTTTGAAGTGTTTTCATTTTCCTTTAATTGAAATGCAGACAGAGACCTTCTGTCTGCTGATGTAAGTCAAATATGAGGAGGCTACTGGCTGCAGACCATGGTGCTAACATTTATTACTAATATGATTTACCTTCTTCCTTATCTTCTGCAGACATTCTTTGTTTCCAGGAACTTTTCATTTGGGCGGACTTTCTCGCTTATTGCCGTCTCCATTATATGTTCAAAATTATACTGACAGCCCTGCCTCAGCATCGCACCCAAAATTTCTACATTCATCCTGAACCATTCCATCATTTATCAGAACGCATATCAGCAAATGAAACTAAATATTTTAGTATTCAAATATAATCACTATAATCTAAGAAAACTAATTTAAATATTTCCAAATGATTGAAGGCTTCTATCACAAGTACAGCTGTTAATATTCTATAGAATTTGATACACACTTGTTGATAATACATTCTGCAGTGCAACATAAATACACATACATTTCAAAAACAAAATAATGCATTGCCTTCCCTCCAGGGATTTTGATGTCAGCAAGTGCTGTCAACCACATTCCCTTGCATAATATCATCCACACTTCCATAAAGCAAATACAGTACTGGAACTTTCTGATTAGATCTCTTCTTACTGATATCATACCTGAAACCTGTATTTCCCATGTCTTCCATCAAACACTGAGCCTCCCCTTCAGTTTGACAGCCTAAAGCCAAGACAACAATGTCGAGGGGCAGTTTGGATCTTTGAATCTCCTATACAGTGATTAAACAAGATTATTTACACCATAGAACAAAAATATTTCTTCTTCTTTTTCCGGTTTAACAATGTTTCTACATTTTCCGGTACCTTTACGTTTCCCCAATTTCTTAGTTGGCTTGATCTATGGACAATTGGTAGGACTCCTTGGACACGGGATCGGCCCGTTGAAAGGCCTCTACCTGTACACAGGACAGCACAACACAGAAAACATCCATGGCTTGAGTAGGATTCGAACCCACAGTCCTGGCGACCAAGCGGCACAAGACCCACGCCTCAGACCGCGCGACAACTGTAGACCCCACAAAAATATTTGTAAGTTTAATATTACATTATTACTTTAAAAGTAATTTTTATTTGTCTGTGTTTCCATTTGAATACAATGTATTAACAAAAGTGTAAGATATAAAAAGCAAGCATAAAAAATGCATGACTCTGCTAGTTTCAACATAATGCATGGTTCAGGCAGCTTTTTCTGAATTTATATACATTTTATAAATTGCACCATAAAAACCTTGTCAAAACTAGAGCATTTAGTAGAAGGAATTTATGAAATAATTTTTTTATGCCAATCTAAAAAAGATTCAGTAATAATTAGTTAATTTTGTTACACAGGGTCCACTTATGCATTCTTATAGTCAAACCTCATGCTTCATTTCTTTATTAACATGTTATAAAAATCTATATCTGGACAGACATCGGCTTTCACCATGGCTGAAAGTGGGGCCTGTAAAATATAGGAGAAGAAATTAACCTTTCAACATCTAGCATTTACACCTTATGCGAAAACTTTATTTCTCAAGGTATTAAAGATTAAAAATGTGCTGTGTGACGACGAGTAAGCCAACAGAAAAGTGGAATAACATAATGTACCTCAGATACAAAATTTTGAGGTGGGAACACTAAGGGATGAAACCACTTAGGAGATCTATGCACAGATGGGAAGACAATAATTAAACTGGATCTTAGACAGATTAGTTGTGACTGGATTGAACTTTATATGCCAGGAGTAGGTTCAGTGGTGGACTTCTCTGAACATGGAGACTTTGGATTCCATAAATGTAGGGAATCCACCTGATTAACTGCTAGTTTCTCAACTGTTATTGTGTTCTGAAAGTTAGAGTATCACTATTTTTACAGCACTTCAGGCAATGCAGAATGATGGACAGATATTTGTGAATTGTACCTACGAACTGTTGCGTGTTCTGCTGCTTTAGTAGATGGGATGATGTCACTCCATCTTTATTCATTTGTTCAAGGAATCCAGAACAACCACCCACAACAATTAATCTGTAACACAGGTACAGAAGCTATCATCTTAATTTAAATAACTTCTGGTTGTTATATTCAGAGGATTTGAATAACATCAGGATTTTAGATTGGTTTTCATAAAGAAACATGGCTACCAGGTCATACACACTGTTCAGATGCCTTTCTAACTACCGGTTTAACATATCGGCTAAGTCTTATGAAACAATAGGAAAATTTAATTCTGTATCAGTAATCATGTAATATGTCTCCACAACCTCAATTACAGCCCAGTCAAGAGTTTTTAAATGTTATACTGACTGATTCTTAGACACTCAGTGAACTTCCTGACAATAATGATTGCATATGATGTGGGCATGTAAAGTGAGTATAATCACTTATGCATAGGCACACTATTAAAAGTTATTTGTACTTATCTCTTAATTATCAATGGAAAGCATGACATTTGATTGAAAATTTTCTGTTATATGTCATTCACAGGAAGCTTTTATTCACGTTAAGCAAAAATATAATTCTGCCTAGGAAAAGTCCTTCCAGTTTGGAAGTGCCAGGACTGACATGTGTAAACTTGGACAGCAGTTTAAAACTGTTTCATTACTTGATTAAGGAATTACATCCCATTTAGGCTGTCTTTCCAGTATAAATAAGGAACTTCATATACTGAAGCCTCTTCTATTACATTTTCTGGTCATGAATTTGATGGCTGTGGTACTGAATCATTATTTTCTGATGTCAGCAAAGGTCTTGTCTGTAAAGTGAAGAATTAAAACATACGAAAAAGATTTGAGGTTCTCACAGTGGTGAGGATGTTTACGTTCTTCTGGGTTGTGATGATGTGGGCATGCAGGCAAAGACCAATGTTTCAAATAAACGTATACTTCTCCAAAATGTTGGTATCTGTCCACAAGTCCACGTGGCATTACAACTCAAAACAACAACATCGTCATACTTAAGAGTAAGAGGCATATTTAAATGCACACAGCATACTGAAATAAATTAATTAATAGTTTACCTTCAGTGTCTTATATTCCTGGCTGCTGTTTTCTTCAGTGATCCTATGAAAAACATCCTGAGCAACATCAATATCCCCAAAGCCACAGTCCTTATGGATGGAAGCAAGAGATTGTATGTACTCTTTTTTCTAACATTTTTCTCCATGCCTAGAAATCAAATTTAATTTGAGGTAACATGAAGAAACATTTTATAATTTTCTCCACAATATCCTTGACTCGCAGTACATAAAGCCAAGGAGTGGTACTCCATTTTTAGAGTTTGGCAGGGGGCTCCCCATAAAAACTAGCACGTTAAGAAATGTTACACATTGTGAAAGTAGACATGAGATTTAATCCCCAGCTCTTATAAATCACAGGAAGTTGACTGGAACAAAAATTTTCTCAATTGATTTTTATTTACCAATAAAGTGTGCCTGAAGCCTGCTTCTTTGTCTGTAATACAAGCCTACAAAAAAAAATGGAAGTTTCGTCTGAAATAACAGTTGATAGATCTCCACATCTTCCAAATGCTGAAATGGATAAAGTTTTATGGATGTAAGACACATTTAATTCAATTATAGTATGTGGAAGTTCATAGACTGCTGACTGTACATTAAATACTCAAACCTTTAATCATGGCATGGTAATTAGCAACATTTGGTTCATAACTCACGTAAATGTTTTGCACGTTTAAGACTATCATTAGGCCATGGACTGTTAGCACACGTAATGCAGTCATGTTTGATATTACACTTACATTTAATGAGAAATTAGGAGTTTTTGTATAGAAAGGAAGGTATGCTATGAAAAGCCAGAGATATTTTATAAGGGCTTCAAGAAAGCTGTGGGTCAAGGAGGGATAGACAGAAATGTTGATGGACAACTGGATAGAAGATATGACCAGTTATATGCATTACATGTACCTTGCCCACATTATGGTGTGAAAGAACTAGAGTGCTGCATGATTATTGTGTATTTAATTGAATATACCAAGAATATGAAATGCATATTTCATACACATATAATTATTGTTTATAAATGAGCCAAGGAAACAAAGACTTGTCGAAGGGTAAATGTGAATGTATCACAATGAAAGTGTGTTCTGTTAATTGCATAATAATTAATTACTTTTAGAAACTCAGTTAGACCAATTTAAGATGACATCACAGTTTATCCATTAAAATTCAAAATATCTGTATGAGATTTGACGTTCCACAGTGGTGAAGATGTCAGTGTTGTCCTTCTGGGTAGTAATGCCATGTGGACTTCTGAGTAGTCACAAACATTTTGGAGACGGTATATTTCTTTGGAATGTTGGTATCTACCTACAAGTCCATAAGGCATTACAACCAATATGACCAAGTCAATAAAATATCACATTGCTCTGCACCATGATACTTGTGAAATGTGCCTTAATAATACAAATTTAACTCATATTTAAACATATTTATACCTGATTATACAACTGAAATGCTTTTTTTGTGTAGCCTAAGCGACCACACTCTCCAATGATAAGATTGTAGATGAAATTTTCTGGTTTAACACGATCCTGTTTAAGCATTCGTGTTTGAAGCACATCAGTAGCATCTGCTACCTTGGAAAAAAAAGATTACAATTATAAAATACATCTTTAAAGTATCTGTTTGCAAATGCACAGCTTCACATGACAATACCTTCTTCACGGTGATAAAATCTTTGATAATAGTTGCATACTGTCTGGTGCTCAGTTTTTGTGCTGCTGTAGGAGCATGTTCTAAGTATATTTCTTCTTCTTTATCTTCTTCATCTCCTTCAGTGGCTTCAATAGGTGTTTCTTTATTGCATTTAAGGTTTCCAAATATATCTGGGTCAGCCTGAGAGAAAGTCATTTCTGCTTCTAAATGTGTTTTGGCATCAATTTGTGCAGTTTATGGCTGTTTAAAATATACTTTTCCTTAATAGTTTTTATTGTTATTACTTTCATGACATTTAAAATTATTACTCTTGTAGTTTTCTGTGCCTTTGCATGTCAGAAAGATGTGTTGTTAAAGCCAGAGACAATGCGATATATATGTAGTTGGCAATACTTTTTTATATTGTTGGCACCTATTAGGTTTGTAAATCATTTCAGTTATGACACCTGCTAAAAGCAGAAAGGATACGGCCTGATAAAATCATGTTCGAAAATTTATTACACACTCAAAATAGACACTTTATTTTAATCACCAGTTACTACTGTACTTTTCTGATCCAGTTATAACTTCACTTCATTTGTAGTAGCTGTGCCTGAAGATACCTACAAAATTAAAATAACACATAATAAAAAGCTATCCAGCATCAAGCAGTTAGATTGATGTAATAAAAAGAGCAGAAACAACATTCTGAATAAAAGTTAAGTTAACTTATTTTTCTATTTTCTATTATTCTACAGTTATTCATTCATGTACAATACAGGCTTTTGGGCAATATGACCTTGAGTTGTGCCCTAACTTTATGAGGTTATGATAATTATTTATTCAAAAATTACTATAATACCAATTAATATACTCTACTAGAATTAGGTTAGGTTTTGGGGTAATGTAGTAGTACGTAAAGTTTGGCACCAACTGAAAAAGAGGATGAATTCTATAGCCAGGCAGTATAGGCGCCATGCAGAAGATATTTATATTTTTGGCATATAAGGTAAGATCACTGGTTTACAGTGTGCAAAGACACAAAATCCTGCCTCACCTGAAGCAGCCATTATTGTGCAATATGCAGATTTAACAAGCATTGAACTCGATAACGTAGCCTTACCTTAACGTGAATACCACTGTTTCTAATTACCATTTCCTTATTCGCATCTAACATAACCGGTAAAGCCATCTACTGCATGTCTCTAAGGAATCTAACCTCTTTCTAACCTATTGAGATTATAGTGTAAACTATATTTAAAACGTATTTAAGAATTTCAGTAGCATAGTAATTTATGCAACTATTGGCATTATAACGCAACATCCAACACATATACCAAGTATTCTTTCAATAATTTTAATTATTTGAAAGGGGCATAATAACCTGAAGGTGTACACATTTCAATTGATGTATCGAAATTTCGAACTCGATTACGAATCGTAACATCATCCATAGCGTAATATCAATATCGGCACCACCTACGCGTAGCGACATCCACCGAGTAGCGATAAGGCCTCAGAGCATTGATTTATTACTTGGTTCGGCGCCACATTTGAAGACCGTCTGTGACTAGTAACGTGCATGGTTAGTATATTACTTGATGCCGATGTATCAGATGAAGTAGTTTATTAGATGTGATGCGATAATGACAGGGGCGAAATGCTGTATGTAGGAGTACCTTTATGAATTTATGAAATACGAACAATGTTGCTGTGTTATGGGCAGCCAGGTGAATCTGGAATAATATACCCACTTGTTAACAACATTCGAAGGTAAGTCAGTCGATACTAGGCTACTGGCTGTATGACCATGGTTAGATTCCCCGCAGGACAGTGATTTCTCTCTTTGCCACTAAATCTAGCACGACTCTTGCGCCCACTCAGCCCTCTCCTCATTGGATACCAGGGGCCCTTTTTTATCAGGTTAAAGAGGCCAGTGTCAAGGTTAAGACTGCGTGGTACTCCACCTTCACTTACCCATTCGTCTGCATGGTATGATGCTTTACGCGTCTAAAAATAATGGAAATTAATGTTATCATGTTACAAACACAAGAATGTGGAAACTACTGGTAGAAAACAGGAAACTGACTGTACACCGGTGAAGTTCAAAGCTGAGACGGATGCAAATATTTGGACTGCTGCTGACACACAGTAACATGTTTTGTCTATAAATCCAATTAATTTCCCTGTTGCCAGACCTTAATGGAACCAACTGGGGTTCTTGAACCAGGGCAGGTTAGCTGTCGAGTGGGAAACTGTAAACAGATGATATGGGATGGAGAATACAAATTATGCAGTTCCTCCATGTGCCTCAGTTTTTGTTTCATAAAATAATAGTATTGGCCGAGTCGACAAGGGAATTCCATGTCCAAATTGGGAGCTGTTGTTTCGCCTTATGGTTGTCATTAATTCGACTTAACAATTGCAGTAGTTCATCCTTGGTAATGAGAATTCGATTTTTTATCGTTGCTAGTTACGTTCTTTTGGGGATTAGTACTATTTTAACGTTTGAAAATTAGAATTTGTTATTGTTGTGTTATTTGTCAGAAAAGGCATCCAGACACATTTGTCAGTGAGTCGTCTCATGGGGATGATTTGTTTGGAACTGATGAAATCATAAAATAATTACACCAGAGCACATGCACTGGGTCGATTAGCATTCATTGTTTTATGAAGCTGGCAATTGCAATATTCTGTTTCAAAACACCTTATCATATTTATGCATTTATTAGCCAGTTTGATGTTAGGATACTTCATTTGCCTATTGGAAGTTGTTTCATGTATGATGGGAGGATTTTTATAAATTAATCATAATGACGGCAAATAAATAGATATATGTTATGTTCGTCAGATGTTTGTTGCTTCTGTTCCTTCAGATTTTCATTTACAAGATTCTTTCATGTTGTACTTCGGAACAAGTTAGGTAGTAAATTCAGTTGAGCAATATCGTATCCAGTGCTCTAGTCATAAAAAATCTTTACATTATTATTTTGAATGTTAGTAATACACACTGACTTTTTAAATTGTTTTTAAACACATTCCTCTCTCTTGGAACAGCATTTTAAGGCATTTTGGTCATTTGATTTGTCATCTGGTGTGTTGCACAATCTAATTGTCCAGGGTTTGTGGAATTGTTCCATTATTTTGCGTGTGACAAGGCTGTTTTAAGAGGAGGATGGGGGCCTTGACTGCACCTGAAGAATTCCAAGTAATTAATCAAAGCATTTTACTAGTTGTGAACAGTGAAATCTGAGCGAAATGTAATGCAGTCAAACTTATTAGGTTGCATTATTTCTTATGTGCATTTTTATATTATCTATTCAACTATGTTTAGGTGTCCCATATGGTCTCCTTGGGGGTTTTCAATCACATTTTTTTTGCATTCTTTGTTTTCCTTTGTATTAAGCACCTCTTTATGTAATTTTAAATGATAAGGATGGCATTGTTAAGTCATATTAAGATAACTTATTTGTTTCATGCAAACAAGGAATTTTAAAACATCCATATTTCCTCCACCATGAAAGCATCAACTCACAAAGCATCTTTATTTATTTTCACCTCTGGCTGAATTTAAAAACTTTTCAAGGGAAGTAGCAATAATCAATGTGCTAGCCCACCTCTGCGTTTTGTGTCATGTCTCTAGTAGCTGAATATTTTCTTCTGAGCTGCCCTTCCTTATTTTGGATTAATTATATATGAATAGAGATGTTATGTAATGGTTTTCTAAGCGTAACATGTCTAATTATGCCCCACTGTACTGTGCCAGTCTCTGCCTGGTATGTGGAATGTGGCATTGAATTTTAAAGTCACACCTTATTTATAAACAGTTTTCTGAAACACGGATCTATTTTTTAAAAAGTGATCCTCTTGTAAAGGCTACAGGCTTTCAGAAATAAAACCACTATTTATGCACCAGTGGTGATCAAATGTAGGTATACACTGCAGTTGTCACATCAGGAGCTGAAGGTGGTTGTCCCTGGCATCCATGCACAACTAGATATGATGCTGCGAAGTATTTGTAAATGTAATTATCCTTTACTCTGGCAGGGTTAAAGGATTTTTCTCCTAGTTTCTGCATCCAGATCAGCTCTGGGGCCCACACAGCTTCCCATCTAGTGGGTACCTGGGTCGCTTTCCTTGGGGGAAGTAATGCTGGCCACTCACCTCCATATAGTGCCAAAGTCAAGAATGAATAGGGACTATTCCTCTCCTCCCCATAAATTCCTCCATGGCATGTAATGGGACAGCTTCACTTTTGCTTATATAATGCTTGTTGTGTACTGGAGAAGTGCATTCTGGTTTTACCTGGATGCTAGTTTGTAAAGTAAAAGTAATGGTGTCCCATTATACACCATGTAGGTACTTTGGGGGAGAGGTAATATAGCTCCTACTCATTCTAAATCTTCGCACTAGAAACAGGTGAGTGGCCAGCATCACACCCTGGCTGTGTTTTATCACCTGAAAAGGACCCCAGTACTCGTTGAACAGCAGGCTGAGTGGGTCCCTGAGCTGGTCTGGCTGCAGAGGCTAGAGGATTAATTCTCTGCCTTTGTCAGGGATCAAGCCCCAGTCATCCAGTATGTAGCCAGTCACGATACTGACTGAGCTACCCCATGAAAATTTGTGCTGTGCAAACAAAAGATATTCTATTCAAGAGAGGCAATGTATGTTTTATTGCGTTGTATGTGTGAGAGTTATTTTCATCTTGTCTTTATGTGTGTTGTCATGCTTTTTTTGTTACAGTATTACACTGTTCAATTTGAGGAGCTGCGCGCAGAGATGATGACACAGTTGGAACATCAGAATAAAGAAACAAGTGAGGTGGTAGCTCATATGAAAGCTTTGACGGAAATGTTAGGTGGTGAGGAATCTCATTTTGGATTGAAAACAGACTTGGGTTTGTACAAAACAAAATATAGGCAGAAGTTTCTAGTAGAAAACAAGTAATGCCCTTGTGATGGATTTTGATTTCAGTCACTAATGCTAGCATCTTTTATGCTTTAATGTTTTGTCATCAGTAATACCACCATGGTGGTCATGTTACTAATGTGAGAGAATATAAAACATGATGGCAGCTGTGCAAAATCTAGATTTAGCTTTTTTATTTGGATGTTTACATATATGGTAACTCTGGAGGCTCTATCTGACAAATTTAATATAATGGGAATCTGTAAAGTAAAGTGAAGCTGCCCCACTACACCATGAAGGCACTTGGGGACAGAGGAGGTATAGCTGCTACTCGTTCTTGACCTTGGCACCAGATGGGGGCATCACATTCTGGTTGTCCTTCACACCTAGAGTAAAGACCCCTGGCACCCATAAAGTAGGAAGCTGAGTAGGCCACAGAGTTTGTCTGAATCCAAATGCTAGAAGAAAAATACTTTGCTCCTACCAAGGATTGAATTCTGGTCATTCAGTCCATAGTTAGGCACTATACTGACTGAGCTAACCTAGCTTATACTGTGATTCTGTACTAGTGGAAACTGTGTCCATAAATTGATCATTACTTGTATAATTATGAAGTTGTATTTCTTATTAACATCACAATATAGACTGTAGATCACAAAGGAAAATAAGTGTAAAGTTCTGCTCAGAACATTTTGTTTTTACATACACAATTTGAACTTTTTAATTTATTTTGTCTTGTTTGTTATATTATCATCTTTGTTGCATTTCACCTTAAATGTTGGAGTTAATTGTGTATGTAGTTCTTGAAGACATTCATCCTTGTTATGAGATGTTTTATGAAACAGAACAACTTAAGAAGAGAGTCACCGAGTTAGCATTCCTCAGGAGTGAATATTCTTCTCTGGTATTAAAACATGCTCATAAAATTTGGAATTTGAGGAGGACATTACATTTACCAGGTAATGTAGTATAATTTATCTGATATGTTTAATGGGTGGAATTGTTTGTAACGTATCACTACTCTACATGAACCCTTTATTTATGTTGTGTGTGAATTCTTTATAATAGTATTAATTGTATTTGTTATATGAATTATATTATTATGAATTATTCCACACCGTACTGTCATCTGACTAACTTATGGATCCATAGAATGTAATAAAGATGTATACATGTGCTGTTTACATTATTATGCTTCTAAAATTATAGTAGTTATACAAATTATACTTTAAAATTTTATGCCTAATTTTAACACATTACATAATTGCTTGGTAGGCATTTAACCTTGACTAATTTGCTGGCATGCTTTGTACTTTTATCTAGCTGCTTTTGTGGCAGACCTTGTAGGTAATGTATGGTAAGGTTATTCACGCGGAGGTAACAGAGACCGGGAACCTTTCTTATCAAACAAATCGAGCCACACCGCACAAAACCCTGAAGCTAGCCCTTACGAAAGAAGCCGTACCTGACCAGAGATTCTTCCCAATGGCAGGCAAAAACAATAACAACCAGCGAAATTTGGATCGGGCAGTGTAGAGACCCTTACCCTGTCTCAGCTTCAAGATTTTACCACGGGTCGTCTCGAAAAAATTAAGTAGCTCTCACAAACAAATCGAGGAATCTAAATTATGATGAAATTGAAGGATTTGACCTAGAAAGTGAAATGCTTATATTTTATATTAATGACTCAAATTTTAAAAATTGTCGTTATGTAAAAGTGCGACTAGGAAATGAGGAAATAGACGCCATCTTGAATTCTGGCTCTCGAATCAGCATTATTTCGGAAGAGTTTATAATAAAGTAACGGCGCAGGGACTTGA